TCAAAAATAATGACGAAATCACTTCGGTCAATTTTTTGGTCAGGTCAAAGGTCAGGTCACCAGAGGTCATTGAAGGCAAAATTTCGCCGATTTCCAGGTCGAATGTCGAAAATTTCCAAGAAGCCAGCGCATAACTCGGGAACCAATAGAGCTACAGCGCCGCGGAAAAGCGCATTCGATAGCCCTATTAACGCCCTTTCTAAGTAATTCTCTCAGATTTGACCTAACGTCAACGGTTCTGCCTGCAGGGGGCAAAAACTGCAAAAATAGCCGATTTTTTTCGGAAACAGTTTTTCTGCAATAACTTTTGACCCAAGCCCTGTACGAGCTTACCTTTACCGGCATCATGTTCCTCTCGTCAAGACGCATCGAATGAACTATAACTTGACTTTTAAAGGTCAACTTGAAAATTTGACCTCAGGTCAAGGTCATGACCTGACCGGAAAGGGTCATGTTGCATATCAGTCGATCCGTATCGTCGAGCTGAACACATCTAAGGCGTTTTCATCGCTCTAGCATGCCTCTATCAAAAGTTATTTGCGAAAAACTGATAGATACCATTCGTGACCTAAGATGACCTCAGGGCATAAACAAGGGTCACGGTCACCATTTTCATGTTCAGTGTGTCTAAACCACTTGTAATTCGGTGTTTGGGAGTGTTTATAATGTCATTCGTCCAAAAGAGGCGCATTTCAATTTTCTCCCATTGACTTATAATGGGGGCATTCCACGTCAAGTGGGACAAAAAATGATCATTTTGAACCTAACCTCCTCCGATTTTTGCGAAACTTTGTGAAACTACTCATCTATATGTGATAAGAATGGAGACATATAGTGCGGAGTGGTGGGCAGTGCGCGGTAGGCGTAGCGCGCTTTTGACCGCCGAGGCTTGCCAGCCTTCGAGGCGAGCAATATCTCCAGAGCTTAAAAAACAGACCTCACATCCATAAATTAGAACAGGAGCGACAATCATCCGCCATAGAAATGCCTTATCAACAGCGGAGAGGTGCTGATTAAACATGCCGGCCGGCGTTAGGCCAAAGAACGCACCCCTGCTGCGCTGAATTCGGGCAGTCACCTGATCGGCACCGTGTAGCTGGGAGCGCAGCTCAACACCCAAGTGTGTGGTTTCCTGTCGGTGCTTCAGGATCTGTCCACATTGCTGCCACTGAGGCGTCCGAGAGAGGAACTCGGCACCGAATATAAAGCTGTGACTCTTGGTCAAGCTTTGGTTCACATGTACAAAATCTATCCTCCACAACACTGAGAAGGAGGAGACGATATGAAGCATTGATTGAAGATCGCGTGCGCTACTAGACATAATCAGAATATCATCAGCATATGCAACTGCTGGGATGTGGTGGCCATACAGCGTGGCGCCCAAGCGACAGTCATCGAGCTGTTGGATGAGCGGGTATAAAAACATATTGGTGAGGCACGGCGATAAAAGCGCACCCTGTCTCACTCCTCGGCGCACACAGAAGGCGTCTGACAGCTTCCCACCAAAACGTACTCGGGCTGACAGGTGAGAGTACTGTTCCCGCCCCAGCGGCTAACCGCTTTGTTTTTGACTGGCATTTGTCTTTCAGGTGTCGCATATGTGTGCCTTGCCTCTGATAGCTGACTACTGTGCTTGGTAGCCACATTGACTGCACGCACGACCACTCACAATCCCGGACGAAGTGAGTCTCACTTATATCTCTTCGATAGGCACTACTGGCACTGGTTAGACAGCGCGATACTGTGTGATTGGATTATTTAATCAGCCAGTCTGGTATATTTAAACGAGCGGTGCTTAGAGTTTGAGTTCAGTTTCTTAGTAACCAACATGATCTGTTCGCTCGTTCATGTGCTACCCCCTACTGCGGCGATTGGTTATGTGCCGGATGTATTACACCTTTCGTCCGTTGTCCCCACAGTTATAACGGTCATCACGGTCTGCGACTACTGTGGGCCCACCGACTACAAGCCCTGAACACAATAAATCTTGTAGAACTCTGCCCTGGTAGTTTTTTTTTCTTGTTGGCCGGATCAGTTATAATTCTTCCACCTGTTGTGAGGTGGTGGTGTTGCCCATCAGTAGAGTGGTGACACAGTAGATTGATGTTCACGGCCAGTAGAGATGATCCTCACATTTGATCCTAACCTGAGGGCTGTCTAGCCTGACATCGTGTCACTCATTCTTCATTATCTGGAGACCTATTTGTAGTTGGAAAGGCAGTTGTCTACTAACGATTCAGGTGCAGTGGAGTGCAGACCTCAGCTAACTCCCAGTCCCCCTGAACTATACGATTATGGACGGGGAAGAGAACCAGGAACAGACATCTGCAAGTAGACGACAGGTGCGCCTGACTGAGGCAGGAAGAGAACACCAGAAGGAGATGAAGACGAAGGTGTTCAAGAGGCAGCTCAAGGAGCTGAAAAGGCACACTGAGAAGATGGTGGAGGACGATGGCACTATCGTCCCAGACTTGGGAAAACCAGAACTGAAGGAGTGGACCCATTGCTATGTGAATCTTCTTCAGACTCTGTCAGACCTGAGAATCCTGCTGCCATCAGACGAGGTCGCCCTCCTTCAGAGAGACATTGAACAGTTTCAAGCACTCAACTTGCAGATGCAAGAAGCCCTGGAGAAACTGAGGAGCACAGAAGCCCGAGCTCCGTCGGTGACCGGTCGCAGTGGGAACTCTCGGACATCGACATCGGTCGCTTCTGTTCGAGCCTCCTTGAAGATCCTGCAAATGCAAGACGAACATCAGAAAGCAGCCCTGCGAGCGAGACAAGCGGCTGTGCTGAGAAGACGAGAAATCTAACAAGAGAAACAGGCCATCAAGTGGAAAGAGGAGGATCTTGAACTGGAAGTGGAGCTCAGCACTGTGGAAGAGCAGAGTAAGGCACTGCACAAATTTGAGATGGAGTTGGAAGACGGAAAGACCTACAGACTACCTGCGGAGAATGACGTGACAGCTCCAGCGGAGTCAATCCAAGTAGGACCTGTTCGAAGTGCAGGTGCTCCCGTGACAACCAGCGAAGTTCGCGGCGATATATCTTCCTCTCAGCGCGCCAACGTTTCGCTCAGCGTGGCAGATGCCGGAGCAGCGCCTCTGTCATCTGCGCAGGGCGGCAGCGCTCACATCAGCGTAGCTGACGGGCCTGAATCGACTACACTTCATCATGGGCTGAACCCTGGCGCACGTATCTTCAGGCCCAGCGCGATGATAGAGCCAGAGGAGCAGCTAAATGTAGAACGTAGCTCCGGGACGCTAGCTGCGGGACCCACTAACTTATCAGATCTGTTCGCAGAGCAGCGAAGAGGCCAGCTTCCAGCGCTGGAACCGGAGGTCTTCCAGGGAAGCGTCGAGAGGTTTCATCCCTGGGTGAAGGCCTTCGAGAGCTTCATCGAGAGCAGAACGTCATCGGCGACAGAACGACTGCACTACCTCTCCAGGTACACCGGAGGAGAAGCGAGAACAGTGATTGAAGGATTTCTTCTCCTTAGGTCAGCAGACGCGTACAATCAAGCGAAGAAGAAGCTGTACGACCGCTACGGAAATGACTTCATCGTCTCACGCACGTACCGCAAGAAGCTGAAGGAGTGGCCACCGGTGCGCGCTGGTGATGGGAGCGGTCTAAGACGATTGGCGGACTACCTGGATAGCTGCCTCGCGGTCTCACATCACGTATCGGGTCTCGAATCTCTTAACGACTGCAACCAGAACAACGAGATCCTGCGGAAACTGCCTAAACACATCGTGGACAAGTGGAGACGTGTCGTCGACAAGAGACTGTTCGAGCCTGACGCGGGGACTCAACCGGGCTACCCGCCGTTCGAAGAGTTTGTGAGTTTCCTGAACAGGGAGGCTAGGATCGCCTGTGGACCGGTCGACGGCACACCAGATGTATTTTCGACTTCGGGTCGAGACACACCAGCCAGAGGTCGTGTCAGCCGCAAGGAAAGCGCTCACACCTTCATTTCTTTGGCAGCATCAGATGAACCTGCTGACGCCCCGAAGCACCGAACTCCACCGTCAGCGAAGCCACGGCCTCCTTGGCCATGCAAGATCTGTGGACAGCAGCACTCTATCGAGACATGCAAGGACTTCAAGGCCATGACATCAGAAGAGAGGCACGAGGCGGTCAAGCGACATGGACTCTGTAGAGGCTGTCTCCGCCACGGTCACATTTGGAAGGAATGCCGAAGCAGGAGAAGATGTGAGAAGTGTGGTTACTCTCACCCAACGCTGTTGCACAGCGACTCAAGAGAGAAGTACACGGCGTCGACTCCGGTGAAGAGGCCAGCAGGCTCAAGCGACGGCACTCCGGAAACTCGTGCAACCACATTCAAGGTGGCGGTTGAGGGCGATTGTCAGAAATCAGCCTGTCTTCACACCATGATTGTTCCCGTCATTCTTCGAAGCGAGGACGACCCTAATCGACAGGCAATCGTCTACGCAGTTCTTGACCCGCAGTCAGATGCGTGTTTCATGACCGAAACAACGCTGCAGAAAGTTGGAGGCAGAGGAGAGAAGATTGCGCTTCAACTCAGCACCATGGCTGGAAAGGCAACGATGGACAGCCTCAGAGTGACGGGACTTTCGGTCCAAGGGCTCACGACCACCGACCGCATTAACCTTCCAGCCACCTACACACGGGTCGAGATACCAGCGGAGAGACACCTCATCCCTCGAACAACCACGCTGCAAAAGTGGAAGCATCTCGAGCATCTGATGGAAGATCTTCCTCCTCACCTACCGGACGCAGACATCGGACTACTTATCGGTATGAACTGCCCCCGCGCAGTGAAGCCGAGAGAGATTGTTCCAGGAAGCGGCGAAGACCCATGGGCAATCAGAACAGAACTGGGATGGAGCGTTGTGGGATTCGTTGAGGGATCCACATCTGCTCCAACATGCCACTGCGTACAGGCGGCAGAGTCGAAGACGTGTCACTTCGTACTCAAAACTCAGGCACGAGAAGTAAGTCCACTGGAAGTCGCACGCATGTTCGAGGCCGACTTTCGTGACGAACACACGGAGAAGAAGGTATCACAAGAAGACCGACGATTCTTGAGGATAATGGAGGAGAACTTCCATCAGAGAGCCGACAAACACTTCGAAGGACCACTTCCTCTGAAGGACCAGAATGTGAAGTTCCCAGACAACAAGAAGCTGGCATTGAAGCGGCTTTTCTGCCTGAAAAGAAGACTCGCTAACGACAAGAAGTTCAGCGATGACTACAACAAGTTCATGGCCGACTCGTTCAACAAGGGATATGCGGAGCGGGTGCCAGAAGACGAACTGGGAAACGACGATGGAAGGGTCTGGTTCGTCCCTCACCACGGTGTCTACCACGCAAAGAAAGGGAAAATCAGAGTCGTCTACGACTGCAGCGCTGAATACCAAGGATTCTCGCTGAATAACAGCCTTCTCCAAGGACCAGACTTCATCAACAATCTGCTGGGCGTAATCATCCGCTTCAGAAAAGATGAAGTGGCGATCAGCTGCGACATCCAGGAGATGTTTAATCAGGTGCTCGTGACTGAGCAGCACAGGGATCTGCTCAGATTCCTGTGGTGGGAAAACGGCGACTTATCCGGAGAGCCCGTCCAGTATCGGATGAAGACTCATCTCTTCGGCGCGGTCTCCTCCCCCGCATGCGCGATGTACGCCCTGAACGCTACGGCAGACACGTACGAGCAGAAGTACGGGAAAGAAGCGGCAGATTTTGTCAGACACAACTTCTACGTGGACGATGGGCTCATCAGCGTTCCGGATGCCGACACTGCTGCGCGTCTAGCCATGGACACGATCCACCTGTGCGCAGATGGAGGATTCAAACTCAACAAGTTTGTTTCCAACGACCCCTCTGTCGTCGCTAGCCTTCCCCCTGACAGTGTCTCTAGGGGAATGACATCAGTAGACGTCAGTCTGCACCACCCTACTTACGAGCAAGCACTCGGACTGAAGTGGAACACCGAAACAGACACACTGCACATCAACGTGGACCTTGCAGACAAGCCCATTACAAGACGGGGCATTCTGTCGACGGTGAGTTCACTGTACGATCCAGTCGGTCTGATATCTCCGGTAATCCTGAAAGGCAAGCAGTTCGTGAAGCTCCTCTGCTGTGACGGCTATGACTGGGACGAACCTGTGGCAGAAGACGTCGCCGTGCGCTGGCTGCAGTGGAGGGAAAGTATATGCTTGCTTTCCGACATCTCTGTCCCCAGACGCTACGTCTCCAACAAGGGCAAGATCAAGATTTACGAGTTGCATCACTTCTCCGATGCAAGTACATCTGGCTACGGTCAGGTTACCTACCTGCGAACCATCGATGAGCTTGGACACATCTGTTCGGGTCTCGTGATCAGCAAGGCGAAGGTGACGCCCAAGCGGGCAGTCACGATCCCGCGGCTCGAGCTGACCGCGGCGGTCCTCTCCGTGAAGGTCGCGAGCTTCTTGGACAAGAAGCTCAACATCCGGAACCTGCGCCACTTCTTCTGGACCGACAGCATGGTCGTGCTCGGTTATATCGGCAATGAGAGCAGAAGGTTTCAAGTTTTCGTTGCTAACCGAGTTCAACAGATACGGGAACACACTGTCCCGGACCAATGGAGATTCGTGAAATCTGAGGACAATCCAGCAGATCTGGCCTCCCGTGGCCTCGATGCAAGTGAGCTCAAGAACTGTGACCTCTGGTGGCACGGACCCAAGTTCTTGATGGATTCGGCAGAGCTCTCAGCAGAACCATGGTTCGTCGAGGTACAAGAAGACGATCCAGAGGTGAAGAAAACAAGAGTGTTGGTCACCAGCAGCCGACAAGACGACGCCAAGTTTGATCTGTCAAGCCGACTTGTTCCCTTTTCAAGCTGGTTCCGCGCCAAGAAGGCAGTAGCGATCTGCCTACGATACAGACGACGACTCCTGAACCGAATCAGGCAAAAGCGGACCTGCAGCACAACCACTGAAGGTATGGAGGAGAGCAAATCGCTGACAGACATGCCCATTGACACAGATGAGCTGAACGACGCAGAAGTAACCATTCTGAAGAACGTTCAGGAAGATGAATTCGAAGAGGAGTTGGTGAACCTGGCAACTCAAGAGGATCCGACGACAGATCGGAAACAAGTCAAGAAGCGGAGCAGCGTGCGCCGTCTGGACCCGTTTCTTGCCAGAGATGGACTCTTGCGAGTAGGCGGACGGCTGAGGAGAAGCGATCTGCCCCTGGAGACGGCACACCCTGTGATACTGCCAAAGGATCACCACGTCAGCCGCCTCATCATCGCGCACTTCCATGAAAAGACCAAGCACTCAGGCCGAACGATGACGCTGAGCGAGATTCGGCTGTCCGGATTTTGGATTCTTCACGGAAGAACGGCGGTATCTCGGTACATACAGAAGTGCGTCAAATGCATCAAGCTCAGAGGAACACCGTGCGGCCAGAAGATGGCAGACCTGCCGGAGGAGAGAGTGGGACAGATGGAACCGTTCACCTATTCCGGATGTGACTGTTTCGGACCCTTCATCATCAAAGAGCGTCGCAGCGAGCTGAAGAGATGGGGCATCGTGTTTACGTGCATGAGCTCGAGAGCCGTTCACCTCGAGACTCTGAACTCGCTGACTGCAGACGCTTTCATCAACGCCTACCGACGTTTTGTTAGTCGGAGGGGACCAGTCAGAAAGCTCTTCTGCGACAACGCCACGAATTTCATCGGTGGCGAGGGATACCTCATGGCAGCACTCAACGAGATGGACCGAGATCAGGTCAGGAGGACCATCCTGAAGGACAACTGCGACATCGTGGAATTCGACCACATCACCCCACGGGCTAGTCACATGGGCGGCGCCTGGGAGCGCCAGATACGGTCTGTTCGCGCCGCTCTCAACAGCCTGTTCCAAGATGTGGGACTCCAGATCGACGACGAACTTCTTCGAACGGTCATGACTGAAGCCGAAGCCGTAGTTAACAGCCGCCCCCTGTCCTATGCATGCATGACTGACTCAGATGTAGTAGAGCCTATCACCCCTAGTCAACTACTCACCTTGAAACAGAAGGTAGTTCTCCCTCTGCCGGGGAACTTCGACCGCCCGGACCTGTACGTCAGACAACGCTGGAGGAGGGTCCAGTATCTCTCCAACCAGTTCTGGCTCCGCTGGAGGCGGGAGTTTCTGCCAACTCTCCAAGAGCGTCGCAAGTGGAACCGGACGGAGCTGAATCTCGAGCCAGGCGACGTCGTGATCATCGTCGACGCTGACGCCCCGCGATGCAGCTGGCCTCTGGGCCGCGTGGTTTCCACGTACCCGAGCAGTGATGGACTGGTACGAAGTGTCCGAGTGCGTATCGGCCGTGCTGAATATGACAGACCGATACACAAAGTCATCCGCATGCTGAAGTCGTAGGATGATTCCCAGTCGAGGAGCCTTGTTTATTTTCCTTGCGTTCGTGTGCGCTGCGCAAGTTCCGGTGACAAAGTGTCATCGACACTATTGTGATAATGTGTCACAGTGACGCCGTGATCGATTTGTGACAGCGTGTTGTTGCTGCGAAATGTGAATCACGCGTGCCATTGTATAACAGACTGCGTTTTGTATATAGCAGACAACGTCTCTGCTATTCACGTTCTGTGTGGAAAAGTGATGGAAAATTAGGTGTAAGTACCGTAATTTTGGGGAGCCATGTTCCCGCCCCAGCGGCTAACCGCTTTGTTTTTGACTGGCATTTGTCTTTCAGGTGTCGCATATGTGTGCCTTGCCTCTGATAGCTGACTACTGTGCTTGGTAGCCACATTGACTGCACGCACGACCACTCACAATCCCGGACGAAGTGAGTCTCACTTATATCTCTTCGATAGGCACTACTGGCACTGGTTAGACAGCGCGATACTGTGTGATTGGATTATTTAATCAGCCAGTCTGGTATATTTAAACGAGCGGTGCTTAGAGTTTGAGTTCAGTTTCTTAGTAACCAACATGATCTGTTCGCTCGTTCATGTGCTACCCCCTACTGCGGCGATTGGTTATGTGCCGGATGTATTACACCTTTCGTCCGTTGTCCCCACAGTTATAACGGTCATCACGGTCTGCGACTACTGTGGGCCCACCGACTACAAGCCCTGAACACAATAAATCTTGTAGAACTCTGCCCTGGTAGTTTTTTTTTTCTTGTTGGCCGGATCAAGTACCAATAGGCCAGAAGCGCCCAGCTCCGGCGTGGGAGGTGCTCACTCGCTCGGAAGAGGACGCCATCATGCCACAAACGATCAAAACATTTCCTAGCATCGAGGTTAGCTGCAAACAGCGGGAGTTTATAGCATAGGTAATGTTGCGCGGTCTCGTGTACAAGCATAGACGCTTCGCTGGTGCCCCTATGCCCTAAGAACCCAAACTGAAGTTCAGAGGCCTCAAATGACGTGTCGATCTCTTCCTGAAGGATCAGTTCCAGAAGTTTGGAGATAGTCGACACGAGAGAGATGGGGCGGTAGCTATCGGCAGAGTCGGGTTCCAGTCCGGTCTTCTTCATGATAGGCACCACTGTGCTGCATGTGAAACTGACAGGGACACGCATTTCAGCGAGGCAGGCAGAGAGTAGAGAGGCGATAGCCTCGTGCAGTGGTCCTGAAGAGCCGTAGACTCAAGATGCTCAGCGGTGACGCCGTCCGGTCCTGGTGATGCGTTGCGGTTGATTTGCGGGATCAAGCGAGCTACATCTCCTGCAGTGACGCGCTTAGCGGGGCCAGGATCTTCTTTCGCCTGGGACAGCAGGGCTTCTACTCGGGTGCGCACATCATCTTGGGCTGCAGAGAGGGTGTCCTCGTCCGTATGAATGGGGCGGAAGTGGGCCTCGAGGCTGTCCGCCGTGAGCGAGGAGCGCAAGCCGCCCGAGCCACGTCGAGCCTGCTCTACACGGCGCCAGAACGAATTGATGTCCTTCTTCTGACGCAGCGATGACAGGAGATTTGCGCTGTTATCAACCTGGGCACGTGCTGCATCGACCCGGGCCTGCCTGTATGAACGACGCGCAACTTTGAAGCAGTTGTGCAGGACCGTATTCCGTGGTCGACCGGCGTGAGTCCAAATGCGATACCACAGGCGCGCCCGGTCCCGTGCTGCCGACACTGAAGGGCTCCACCAGGACTTTGGCGGTCTTCGGGGCCGGGAGCAGCCGGCCTCAGCTGCAGCTTGATGGATGGCTGACGTCAGGAGGCAGTCTATCTGATCGGCGCTGAGGTTTGGCTGGACCACTGTCTCCAGCTGCGTGGAGAGCAGTTCACAGTACCTTTGATTCCTGTCGGAATTGTTCCAATCCAGTACCGTGCGGTGAGAACTGGAGTGGTCTCGCGGCGCTGGTCTTTCCCTCTCTTCGCCGTTTATTTGGAGCAGAAGAGTACATGTTATAGGCAGATGGTGGCTGAGGTTGTCATAAGAAGGCGGGATGATAGAACATGACAGAAGCTGTTCATCTGCAAGTTTGCCAGGCACGATGATGTGGTCGATGTGGGACGTGTGACCGCCGCGTTCATACGTGAAATTCACTGGCTGAGAGAAGCGGAACCCAGCGACTGTAAGGCTTCTTTCATCCAGAAGTCGCTGGAATGCTTGGCTGAAGGGGGTGAATCCGCGCAGCTTTGCCCACTGGCGAGGACGGGTTGCCGGCGGGAGACACGGGAGAGGACAGTTGAAGTTTCCGACTAGCATGAGCGGCGCGGAAAACCTATGCGTGTCTATGAGGGCTTCAAGACTAGCGCACAGGTCCATATAAAGTTCTAGTTGATCCGGAGTCCCAGTGAAGTAGGGCATGTAGCAGCCAACTATGGTGAGACGCGGTGCTCCGCCACACATCATCTGCACTGCTAAAAGTCTATCGTTCTCACACTGTAGTTGGGAGAATGAGAATCGGCTGTCTCGGCGGCATATCATGGCCGTCCCTCCATGCCGGCGCCCCTCGCCAGCCCCGGGTGGCAGCTCCATTGCAAATGTCTGAAAAATGTCAACGTCACCCACGCCAAAGCTCCCAAGAACGCCACTCGGTAAAGTTTCTTCTGCACTACACATCCAAGTTTCAGATAGGAACAGCACGTTTAGACTCGTGAAGAGATCAGCAATGTAGGCGGCGGCACTCATGAATCCCTCGCAGTTGTAGCCCCCAATACGTAGCTGGCATTGTCCGCAGGAGGTTGGAGTCGCTCGTCCAGTCGCCTCAGAGCCGGCAGCCGAGGCAGCATCGGTTGCCGTAGCTGCAGAACGATGGGGGAGCTGAAGCTGCGCCGACTGACGGGACGGTTGGGCGCTGCTCTGGTTCCGGCTGACGCGGTAGGCTCGGCCACGTCTCAGAACGAAAGCGTGCCTGATCGCAATCTCCTTGCGACGGCTCGTTCCTTAGGTGCTGGGACTGCGGTGGTTGACGAAGAGCAGCAGGCTGCCGCTGCTGCGGAGCCGCCATTGGAGGCGGTTGCTGGCAGAACTGGGGCGGGGGTGCACCGATGGGAGTGGGAGGGGCCCACCAGGCCGGTGTTCTCTCCGGATACTGGGGCCGGAGCTGTTCGTGGATCGGCTGCTCCCAGTGGCCCGCAGGTCTGGTCAACTGCTGCGGCAGCTGTGGGTACATATGCTGAGAACCCTGTTGTGGCCAATGCCACTGCTGTTCCGGCAGCCAGGGAGGTCTTGATTGCGGGACGCCCGCAACTGTCGATGTATTCTGACGCGGCTGCCATGGCTGTTGGTGTGGCGGCTGGCGTCCCTGTAAAATTTACGAAATTTTATATTAAATCAAATTATAAAATTTGATGAAATGACCAGGGTAAAAGTTTTATTACTGGCGGTCAATTCAAAACGGCGCAAACATTTAAACAGTGAAGATAGTGAAGCACGATTCAAAGTGTAGTACACCTTTCGTACTTTGAGCGGCGATAACGGGATAACGGTGTGGAGCTTCGAGGATCGGTCTTCAGTTCCCGGACCAGAAAGGTGGGGCCTATGCAATGTCAAATTTCATCAAAATGGTGATACTGTCCCTTTAAAAAAAAGAGTTTGAATTGTAGGCGGGGAACCTTATCGTGTGCCAATTTCATGGTCCTAGATCAATATATGCAAGATCAAATGAGGTTAAACGTGATCAAATTTGCTATAGTGACTATTTTGCGTTTATACGCCCATAGCTCTAAGAGATACTGGCCGATTTTCCTATTTCTTCCTTTATACGACATTTGTAGTGTTATGAGAATCTCTAGTTAATCTTACCATAAATTTGGCAGTTAGTGGCTTGCTAAGAGTAAGATGTCGCCGGCAGAGGCGGGGATCGGCCGACGCGGGAAACGTCATAGTCACATATTGTGTTTGCACCCTAATAATTTAATTTTACGTACCTTCCTTCCGGTTTGGGTGCTCACAACATCGAGAACTGCCTTAAATCGGAAATATTTTATTTAATTTATTTCAAAGCCTGCAGCACTCGAATTCAGAGGTATTTGAATGCCCCATCTGACTTTGTGACATCAGCGCAGAGCTAGCGATTTTGACTCTTATACTAAAAACCTTGGTAAAGCGTGTTTCCTTTTTCCAACCAAAGAAAGGCACTACCCAGATATGCTTCTTTCTAACCAAACCAAAACAAAACAAACCTTTCTTATTGCCCCCCCCCCTTGCTGGCGGCTGCGATCACCATTGAGCGCATTTAGGTATTGAGTGATATTGAATTATCTGTCAGTGCTGGTTATATTGGAAAGCCCATCAATTATTTTTATATCTTCATCAAAAATGACTATTTTCTTTGTAAAATATCACTGGAGATCACCCTAAAACATTTTCGAAAAACGTAGCAAAGTCATACCGCTAGGTAGTCACCCCCGTTTACGGTATACCGAAGTTTCGTGCAACTTTGGCCACCAATGGCAACTTTAGCCAACTCCTGGAAAAATATTTGATTTGCTGTAGCTTTTTACACTTACCTAGAGCCAGAAATTCATTTTGCTGCCACACTATGTCGTCCACTTTAACTTCGCCTCAGTGGGGGGCAGGGGGGGGGGGGTATATGTTACCATCCGGCCGCGTTTTTGCGTGCGAGTAAAAATCCGCGACGCGTAGCGCCACGCCGCTTTGAGTAGGTATCTTTCTGTACCTACATCAATTTTGGACAATGTGTGAATTTTTTGACCACAGGTCATGTCAGGTCAGGTCACCAGGTCAAGTTAATTGACCAAGCCTAAAAAAGTTTGCAGTCATATCCAGCCTGCAGCGTTTGTAAGAGAGGTTTCAAACTCGGTGGATTGCATGATGTTATTATGGGCACCTATAATTTGTATATCTCGGATTTTTTATATCCGTGACCTAAGGCCAGGACAGTGGCGTGACCTTTCCATTATAGTCAATAGAGAAAAATGAAAATGCCTCTAGATCCGTGTGTACGCATAGGAATAGTCCAAATATTTCAGAATCACAATGATTTGGACCACCTGTGCCGACCAAGGTGTCTTTTTTGCTAATAGCCTCTAGAAAGATCATCCGAGGTCATTTAAGGCTACAAACAGATTTTTGCCAATAACTCTCGATTGGAAAGAGATAGAACGCTGGGGATGGCTTCATTGTGTTTGTCTTGTCGAGACGCATCGAATGATATGCAGCATGACCTATTTGGGTCTCCACATAACCTTGCCCTGAGGTCAAAATTTGACCTTGACCTTTCCAGGGAGTAACACGATAGTGCCATTGCCAATTCTTCATCTTTGCTGGTTCAAAAGTTATTCGTGAAAAAAGTTTTATCAAAAAGCAGCTGTTTTCACAATAGGTACTTGAACTATGGAGGCTTAGCCCACGCCCCGCTGGGGGGACAGAATCTGCCCCCTCCCGTTTTTCGCCAATAACTTCTAAACGCGTTACGCCAGCAACGTCAAACTTTCAGTACCTTATTGTACATCAATTTGACACGTTCCCCGAAAGTTTGAGCGAAATCCGTCGCAAATTTTTTGAGAAAATGACGTTTTAGTGACGTCATGTTCGCAATTTTCGCCTCAAGAACGGCAAAATTTCAAACGCCGCTAACAACTTCATTTTTAAAGGAATCAAGACGTAACA